ACTTGAGCAGAGTGAACAAGCAAATTGATAGGTGTTTAGAGAGAGAATTGTTACAATGGAAAGAGTGTTAATTAAGTGTCATGGGGTATAGTTTGGTTCAAACATCTAGATTCAATAGTTCTTTGGAAAATGAGAGGATAGTCTGTTAGATTTAAAGTCCTTCATAAAAGAAGTCAGTGATTTCAAACGGAAAAAATTCTTGTTTCATGGGTTGATGATAAAATGTCTAATTATTGGACTGGGAGAGAGTTCAATGCAATGCCACTATGGAGTGTTTTTCAAACTTTCCCTTAATGATACAAGGCAATTAGTCATATTACTCTCTGATAGACTTCCTACTCTAAATTTTATCCTTGTTTCATCCTTTTGAAGAGTTGAAAAGTCTTGATTTATCTTACAATTTCTTTGAAGGTTGGCACGAGAATAGAGGTATGTAATTATTAAGTAATTAGCTTAAAATATAGATCCAATTAAATTACTTTTGCAACAGTCTAGCAAATATATTTATTTTTTTAAAACTTTTTCATTGTTTACATTTAGAATATGGGTCAGACAAAAATTTATGTCATTGTTGACACCCTTAATTAAATACAAAACATGTTATTAATTTTAATTAATGTAAAAGTACTATATGTATGTATAAAAATAGATATATAAGCTATGCAGATTGTTCTGAGCTATATATGTATGTTGATGCATTAATTGTGTTCTTGGAATAATGAATAATATGTGAGTAAATAACAAATATATTGAGTCAATAATGTATTGACATTACTTTACACATATGATGGCTTCAGGTGTTTGAAACACTCAAGATCTTGGATCTTAGTTACAATTACTTCAACGCCACTCTTTACCATCTTGAATAACTAACTTCACTTACCACTTTGAATCTTGGAGGAAGAATATGGGAGAAGGTTTGAAATCGGCCAAACAAGGTATATGTTTAAGTATTATTCTTTAATTTCTATTATTAATCTAATCTTTTTATTTCTTATTTAAAAAAAAAAAAAAAAAATCTTTTTATTGGTGCAGTATAAACTTAGGGGCTGTTTTTTTTTTTTTTTTTTCCTCTAAACACTAAAACTTAGTAATTATAGATACATATGTTTTTTAAACTAATGATGTTTAAATTTTATACTAATTTTATATTAATATATAGAATAAATTAATATTATAGAAAAGAATTAAGTGATAAAAAAAAAAAAAGATATATTTTTTTTTTTCTAATTATGGTGTTTAATAGATTTATAAAGAAGAATAAAAGAATAATATACAATTGTTCAATTGTTTGGTAAAAATTATGTTCGAATCTAAATGTTCATGTTGAAGTGCCCAAATATTTTAATTTTAAATTACGTTTTATATATAAGTAATATTTCTAAAATAGTTTCCTTTTCTTAAAATTTTCCACAATCTTGCTTTTAATTAACTCTAAATCTTTTTTATTGTTTGGCACAGGTTTAGCAAATTTGTCAAACCTAAAAGTATAATCTCGATTGGAATCGAATCAATAACTCTCTATCAAGCCTAGGTATGCAATATTTATTAAATTTTGAAACACTCTTTGAATATGACAACTTGTGAATAAAAATTAAAAATGAATTTGTCAATTCAAAATCTATGGTTTCTCTTGGCACAGGATTAAAAATGTTGAAAACTTGGAAGAGTTGGATTGAGTGGTAATGGAATGAGCGGGCTCTCTAACTTGCTAGGTAACAATAACTACAACATAAAATATTAAGTTACAATCATCTTCTCAATTGCTTCAATAATTATATTAGATTACCTTAATTTTTTAATTTTTTTTCTGTATTTTCTACAACATTTCAAATTCAATTTCTTCTCTGGTTTTTGCTTTTGTTTTATGGTGCAGGTTTAGCAAATTTGACAAACTTGAAAAGCTTGGATCTAAGTATAATCAAATTAACACTTCTCTAGCAGTTTAGGTATGCTATACATATCACACTTGAAAAAAAGTATAATTAAAGTACTCTTGCATAAAATTAAAATAAATAGATAACATTACAAAACATATCAGTTAATTTATTTAAAAGATTTATATAAGTAGTTTAGTAGTATGTAAACTATACAAAGATTGAAATATATCGTTCGCATGATTACTTCACTGTCTTATTTTCCATCACACGTCTCTGGTGCAGGTTACAAAATCTAAAAAACTGGAAGAGGTGAATAGCTAAATAAGAGAATGAGCGGTTCTCTACTTCGCTTGGTAACATAAAACCAATATTTGTCAAAGTTTTAGATCAAAATTTTAAAGTTACAATCATTTGGTATCAATTAGTTAATAATTTATCCATGCGTTACACTTTGAAACCCTTAATTTAACAACCTTGGAGATATTGGATCTAAGATATACTGATAGCCGCGATCTAACAAAATCGTGCTTTGTATATTTCATAACATGTACTTTGAGGTTGTTTTTTGGATCAAAGATTTTTTTTTTTTTTTTTTTTTTTTTAAGAAAATGTGAGGAAAATGAAAAAATATTTTAAATTAGGAGCTCTCTCACGTATTTTCTATGGAGTGAAAGAACAATGAGATTTAAAATATAGAACTAGAATATAGAAATTAATAGACTATCTTTTCCAAAAATTCTAATTAAATTGGTATGTTAGAGGATTTTCCTTGTAGATATTATACTCATTTTCTTGAGATTTTTAAATAGTTTAATGATTTATGATATTTGAATGGGTTCATTTTCCTAAATTCTCTTCTAGTGATTAAAATTTCGAGTTTGATGGCATATAATAATTACAATTTTAATATATGACATGATTGATATATATAGTGACAAATGGAAGATATATATCTCGTATTATAGATAAAATTCTAAAGTTCATGTTGGAGTGCCCAAAATTTTAATTTTAAATTAACGTTTTATATATAAAGATAATTTTCTTAAAATCACTTTCCTTTTCTTAAAATTTTCCATCAATCGTTGCTTTAATTAACTCTAAATCTCTTTTATGTTTGGCACAGTTTAGCAAATTTGACAAACCTAAAGTATTAAATTAGTTGGAATCGAATCAACAACTCTCTATCAAGCCTAGGTATGCATATCTATTAAATTTTTGAAACACTCTTTGCACTATGACAACTTATGAATAAAATTAAAAATGAAATTTTCAATTTAAATCTAATGGTTTCTCTTGGAACAGGATAAAAATGTGAGAAACTGGAAGGGTGGATTTGAGGGGTACTCGGTAAAAGAGTGGCGTTGAAGTAATTATAACTAAGATCCAAGATCTTGAGTTGTTTCAAAACACCTGAAGCCATCATATGTTGTAAAAGTAATGTCAATACATTATTGACTCAATATATTTATTAGATGTAGGGTAGGCAACTTGTCCAGAATTTTGTGTTAGATGTAATAAAGCTATCTGAGTTTTCATCATAGCTTTGTATGTATATTCTTGCTCTTAGTTAATCTTGTTATTCCTTCTATATTACATACTATCTTATGGCCTTTTCTTTTTCTTGGTGTTTGTGTTAGGGGTGTTCAGTTCCGGGTACCCTGCACTTTTTGAAGGAACCGGAACCAGAACTGACGATTCCTTGAAATTTGGAATCAGAATCTATTAAGTGCTTAGAAACAAGTCAATTCCTCATAAAATGTTGTGTTTTTGCTTCTATATTCCAACGACTAATAGTTTATTCCTCAAACTGACTTCTTTGAACTAGTTGATTACCAAGCTTACTTGTCTTGATTAGACTTGTCGTTCTCTTTAGCTTTTAGCACCGAGTTCATATACTTTGTTAAATAGTGTAGGCATTGTTGGCCTTCATTCACCAATGGTCTTTTGATCTCACCAGTTTGTGAAAGGTTTACCGAATTCTTAACTTTAGGGTTCTGAGAGATTAGTCAATGTGTGCACAAGCTGGCCCGCTCACTCTTGGTCACAAAATAATAATAATTTATCAATTACACAAACATTTCAATTGCTTAAAATGGCAATAAAAAGATAATAATGTAAAATTCTCTTCTCTTTAGGGTGTGTTTGGGAGACAGTGTCTTCCATAAGACATAACCTACATTCAAAACCTTTTGTTGGGGGTGTGTGTGTCCCTAAATGTCCCTGACTCGACCCCACGCGAAAATGCCTCGCATATCGCCCACCCCTGAAAATTACCCGTCTACTTAAAAAAATCCCCACCAATTACCTAACCCGCCCCAAAAAATTTCCTATTAGCAACTAAGGGGAATCGAACTCAAGATCACTTGAGGAATACGCTCAATAGTCTTTATCGCCCCACCCAACCACCCAGAAGTGATTAACTGCTAAAATCTTTCATTTTACTTTAATACCCGCAAATATAATGTTTATTGGTTTAGTGTTTAGAAACCATTGCATAAAGTAGTAATAATTTAAAAGGATCAATGTTAATGTTATATATTTTATTGACAATCTAAGCATTTTCCTTCTTACGTATTTTAGGTTATTTCAAACCCTTAAGAGATAGTGAAATATTAAGCACGCCTAAGACTTAAAGTATCGTGCATCCTTATCAATGGATTTTTGATACTTTTTTCAAGGGGATAAATAATAATCCAAAGGAGTATATAATACTTCATAAAGATTAGGGTTCGTTTTATGTTCCACTATTTCTCAATGGGTTCTTTGATAAGCCTATGGGCTTGATCTTATTTTACCGTCAAGGAACAAAATATAGACTTCCATCTCTAAGTTTCATTTCAGCATAACTCACTTCATTTTGAGTGTAAAGTGGTGTCAAACCAAAATACGGAACAAACATTAACTCTTCCTAAAAAAAAAATGCGATTAAGTTGTACCATCAAATACAACTACCTTATCATGACTTCTCTTTAGTCATTAGTTTTGCCTTTAACAACCCCTCCTCGCGGTTGACGGCAGTGTTTCCACAGCCGATATACAAAGTCACGCCCACTAGCAACTTGATTATTTATAAAATAATTGAACCTTCTATCAACGAGCACCAGTGGTCTAGTGGTAGAATAGTACCCTGCCACGGTACAGACCCGGGTTCGATTCCCGGCTGGTGCATATTGTGGGGCTATGATGATTAACCATTCTGCGATGGCAGGGTCCATCCACCGTCTGATTTATTGATGTCAGCAAGTGCCGTCTGAGCTCTAATTTTTTATTTTTTCTATTTTCTTCAAAAAAATACTAATTTTATTAAAAAAATGATATCATTTATTTGATTTCAAAATGAAGGGATGAGTAATTTACTCATCTTAATTTTATGCCACTCTCATCAATTCCCTCCAACATTCACATTCTCCAAATCCCATTAAACTTTTTGAAACAAAACTCTTTAATCTTCACCCAAATCAAAATGTTCACTTCTTCAACTTCTTTAGCTTCAATTTCTCCAACCCACTTCACTCCACCCTCCCAACAAACCCTACTTGTAACCCACCTTGAAACCTGCAAATCCATGGACCATCTTAAACAAATCCACTCCCAAACCATCAAAACAGGCCTTTTCACAAACCCCAGCGTCCAAAATAAACTCATTGCCTTCTGTTGTACTCATGAAAATGGGAACATGGACTATGCTTGTCAAGTGTTTGATAAAATTCCCCAACCAACTGTGTTTGCCTGGAATACTATGATAAAAGGGTATTCTAGGATTGATTTGCATAGAAACGGGGTTTCGATGTACTTAGATATGCTTAATAGCGATGTTAAGCCGGATCATTATACGTTCCCCTTCTTGTTGAAGGGTTTTTCACGTGATGTTGCTTTAAAGTTTGGTAAAGAGTTGCATTGTCATGTGGTGAAATTTGGGTTTGGTTCTAATGTGTTTGTGCAAAATGCGTTGATTAATGTGTATTCTTTGTGTGGTGAGATTGATGTGGCGCGAGGGATTTTTGATATGAGCTGTAAAGAGGATGCGGTTACGTGGAATGCCATGTTTTCAGGGTATAATAGAATGAAGAGGTATGAGGATACCAGGAAGCTTTTTGGTGAGATGGAGTTGAAAGGATTGTTATCTACTTCAGTTACCTTTGTTTTGGTGCTATCAGCTTGTGCTAAATTGAAGGATCTAGATGTTGGAAAGCGGGTTCATAGGTATGTCAAAGAGTGTAACATTGAACCCAATTTGATATTGGAAAATGCTTTGATTGATATGTATGCAGCTTGTGGAGAAATGGATGTTGCACTTGAGATTTTTGGAATGATGAAAAATAGAGATGTAATTTCTTGGACTGGTATTGTTTCGGGATTTTTGAATAGAGGACAAGTTGATTTAGCTCGGGAATTTTTTGATGATATGCCAATAAAAGATTATGTCTCATGGACAGCCATGATTGATGGGTATCTTCGAGTGAATAGGTTCAAAGAGGCTTTAACTCTTTTCCGTGAGATGCAAACCTCAAATATAAGGCCAGATGAGTTCACCATGGTCAGCATTCTTTCAGCTTGTGCTCATCTAGGGGCATTAGAATTAGGAGAATGGATAAAGACTTACATTGACAAATATAAGGTGAAAAATGATACATTTGTGGGGAATGCTTTGATTGACATGTACTGTAAATGTGGAAATGTCGAGAAAGCACGAAGCATATTTAGAGAGATCCTTCGAAAGGACAAATTTACATGGACGGCCATGATTGTTGGTCTTGCCATTAATGGACATGGTCAAGAAGCTCTTGATATGTTCTCTGAAATGCTTAGAGCTTCAATAACACCAGATGAAGTAACTTATGTTGGTGTCCTTTGTGCCTGTACTCACACTGGCATGGTAGATGAAGGAAGAAAGTATTTCTCTGGCATGACCAGCGAACACAGTATTGAGCCTAATGTAACGCATTATGGATGCATGGTTGATCTTCTTGGCCGAGCTGGGCGTCTAAAAGAAGCTCTGGAAGTTATTAAGAATATGCCAATGAAACCAAATTCAATTGTCTGGGGAGCTCTTCTTGGTGCATGTAGAGTTCACAAAGATGCAGAAATGGCTGAAATGGCAGCGAAGCAGATTCTTGAGTTAGATCCTGATAATGGAGCTGTTTATGTTCTGCTCTGTAATATATACGCTGCTTGCAATAGATTAGATAATCTGCGTGAAGTTAGACAATTGATGCTTGATAGAGGAATCAAGAAAACCCCTGGCTGCAGTTTGATAGAGATGAATGGTGTTGTCCATGAATTTGTTGCCGGGGACCAGTCACATCCTGAAACGAGAGAAATCTACTTGAAGTTGGAAAAAATGACAAGTGACTTGAAATTTGTTGGGTATTTGCCTGATACTTCGGAGGTGTTTCTTGATATAGGGGAAGAAGAAAAAGAGAGTGCAGTTTATCGGCATAGTGAGAAGTTGGCTATGGCATTTGGGCTGATCAATTCAGAACCTGGGGCCACGATTAGAATTGTGAAGAACCTCAGAATGTGCATGGACTGTCACCGTGTGGCGAAATTGGTCTCGAAAGTGTATGATAGAGAAGTGATTGTCCGGGATAAAACTCGATTCCATCATTTCAGGGATGGATCATGTTCATGTAAAGATTATTGGTGAGTTGAATTAGGGTTTGATTCTCATTATTTGATAATTAATTGTTATTACTTCTTTCCTCCTAAGATCCTTTGATGCCAGAAGTACATAATCATGGTTTTGCATGTGTTAGTAGAATATCTTCAAACTTTCATAACTTGCTGGATTTATACTTTATACTACAGAATTCATGTGAAATTCAAATTTGAAAATGGCAACGGCAGCATTTTGTTCAATATTTTCTGATTTTGTTGGCGTCGAACTTTTTGATAACTACAACACTATATGAGCAATCCACATTCATTCTGCAATCCAAGAAGTAAATTTTGGACGAAGTTTGCAAATTTTTATCATTGAAAACATATTATCAACCATTGAGAAGCACTTGAAGGTAGGGATGTAGTAAGAGCAGAGGGAAGGATTCCGATGAGATCATCTTCAAGTATTACCCAGAAACTTGCGTATTGTAAGAAAAATATATCCAGATTCTTTAGGGAGAAGTGACTTTCTTAATGAAATCTTTTAAGTAATTCATTTTCCATTGACTCTGATTCATAATTTACCCGACTAATGTATTACTCTGCCTTGGCAATCAGATGTTTTATGTCACACATACATCGCAATCCCTTGCAAACACATCAGGACCTCAATCTGCAGTCTCAAATAAATTAATGCAAACTAACACTTCTTTTTGCTTCTGACATTATACCAACCAAACACGTTAAATGATAGGCATTTAATGAAGAAACAGTGCTACAAAACTGCTTTCAGAAACTTAAGTTCAAATGAAGAGCTACCAGCAACTATAACATCACAATAATTCCACTAAAGAGGATCAGGCTGACTATCAGCCAGGATTTATTACTGGAAGTCTGCAATGTAAACTGATTGATTTATCTGTTTGACGTGTACCTGGAACGAAAAACTGGAATATAACTGTCAAGCAAGCACTCTGTGGAAAGAATCCATAGAATGCACAATCTGGTTTTGCAAGGTGACACTGGAGACTCTTGGAAAAGTGTTTGACACTTACTTGTACAGACTGAGCATCTCCCCGCAAAACTGCCCTCTCTGATCGACTCTGACACTGAGATGCTGTTTAGATGGAGCAACAGCTGCTCTCCAATAACCGGCAATTTTTAACTCAGTACCAAGTCTGATCAGAGTGTTGAAACTTGTACATGCAGATCGCCTACTTGCTTATGAAGAATAAAGCAAATCAACAGCTTCATCGGTTCTATATTCTGCAACTGATTAAATCTGGAACCTGAACCAGAGTCTGAGGCAAATCTGAGCCATATCTAGGCAGTTTGAAGCTCAAGACTTGAGCCCTTGACATGGTTTTGAAATCGGGAGTCTTGGATACAGCAGACTTATACCCCTTGGTTCAAATGTAAGGAAAGGCATGGTTGTGTACAATTTGGGGGCAGCTTCTTCACCAACTTTATCTGGAGGCGATTAGCAGTGGAGCCACCACCACCAAATTCAGAACAAATGCTGACACTGCTAAGGACTGCACGTTGGAGAATAGATATGTCAATGGCAAAGGCAATCGGTCCTCATTCTGGCTTGAGATACGGTAACATCAAACAGAGTTTCTTGTGAAACTGTGCAATGCATTGAATCCCCTCACCACTGAGAAGGTGTGAAGGAAGAATGCATGGTTTAGTGAGGAAGAGGTGGCATATTTTCCCCATTTTGTCAAGGCTGGAGAAATCCTTTTAAGAGATTATACATTCTCCGTCAGAAATGCCGAACTTCATCTGTTATTACTCCATCCTCACTTCTCAGAAAAACAATTGAACATACTGCCCAGTAGAGAGGAGATAGAGAAAGTATCCGAACAATACTCAAGGCTCATGCACCCTAGAAATGCAGATTTAATTGGTTGCTTTTAGGAAAAAAGCAATGATTCAACCTTTTTGTAAATAAAAAAAATTATACTATCAAGTACTAACCTAGAAAGATGAATATTGCAGATGGAAAGAATTTGAAATAATGGTAATATTCACCAACTTCTAAATATACTCAAAAAAATGTAGCTCTTTCTCATAACTCATTAAGCTTTAATATGGTGCGAAAACAGAAGTTAATAATACTAACTAGATATGTAGTGCAAACAATTTTGGAACAGAACCAACATGATGTAATATATCTGCCTGCACAAACAGTCTCACACCATGTCCTTAATGATCATTTTCACATAGGAATCAATGCATCTTTTTTTTATTATAAAAAAAAAAAAAAAAAAATATGTATGCTAATGTGAAATTAGGTGAAAGTTCAAACAAAAAGAAGGCACTTAATAAAGATATCACCCATACATCAACAAGCTTCAACTAAATAATAATTAATCATTACAGTGGTAACAAAACAACGCAGATTCAGGAGGAAGCGGAAAGCTTAATTATGAAGAGATCCTTCATACCAAATGCTGCATTGGGCCTATTGGCAGTAATAAGACAACCATCACGAAAAACAGGTTCAACGAAAAGAACAATAATATATAAAAATTAAATTCTTTTTGGGGCTAAAATAAATTCAAGGGAAACAAAGAACAAAAATCCAGTTATACACAAACAAAGTCAAGCATAACTCCATATCACACACGCAAAAACCATAAACTTGAAAATCGGAAATCTTATACTATAATATTAAAATCCTCCAAACAGTTTATTTTTAAGTAGTTATAAGTATAATATTGTTTCATTTCTCAAACGATATAGTACACAATCAAGAGATCAAACTGAAGCAATGAAGCTATTGTTTCTACGAAAAAACAAGCAATCAAAAAAAAAAAAAAAAAAAAAAAAAGAGTCTCACATGGTCGACCATAACAAAGTACAAGATTTCACAACCTGATTCAAAAAAGTCTTTTTACCATCCTTTTGAATCTAAAACTACGTAAAACATTGATCTTTAGAAATGAGCAATTTATCGTTTATCATAAGTTGCATGAAGGAATTGAAAAAATAAAATTTTAACCTTGGATTTTAGATTTTCTCGGGAAACAAACAGAGGATTAGGTTTAGAGGGGTTACCTTTTGAAGATCGCGCGCCAAAGATTGAGAGGGAAAGCACTGAAAGCAGTGAAAATGGGGGATTTATTATTAGAATTTATTAAGAAATAAAATTAAAATCGTTTACCATTCCAGCCGAGTAAACACGTGACCTGTTCACCACCTTGAATTTAAGTTTTTCATGGTAAATCTCATTTAGGCCCATCAAAAATCATTGCGTTCAAATCTATAAACCACTTCGTAATCCTTAATAAAAGACATGTCGTTTACATTTGTGTTTCTTCAACGGTATGTTTTGTGTAAATAACGTGTTGTTGTAGGCTTGAAGTTTCCGTAAGTTCAAATAAAATTCTTTATGGTAATTGTCATTTAAGTCTATCGTAAATTCGTAATCCTAAAAATAGGGATTTTTTACGATTTACTAAATTATATGGGTTTAATTGATATTTATCCAAATGATGTCGTTTCCATACTCAAAAAATGATGTCGTTTTGCTTTACCAGAAACGTTTTCATTTTGACAATAAACGATGCCTTTTCATTTGCCATAAACGACGTCATTTAATGAAGAGAAAACGTTGTCGTTTCCTTTTCACGAAAACAACGGCGTTTCGTTCAGAAACAAATGATTTTGTTTCATAGAACTAAAATGACGTCGTTTTGGTAAAACAAAATAGCACCATTTTTATCTGACAAAATGACATCATTTAGATAAGTACAAACGATGATTTTTCTTTTAGTAAAAACGACGTTGTTTTGTTGAAGATAAAACAATGACGTTTCGATTTACACAAAACGACGTCGTTTTGTAGAAAATAAAAATGATGCCATTTTTCTTTACCAAAAACACTATTGTTTTTCGTTAGCACAAAACAATGTCATATCAATGTTAAAAACAACATTGTCCCCCTAGTAAAACGACAAGTCGTCCGTTTGTAAATGGCATGTCGCACAATGCCGTTTGTATTGGTAAATGATGTCGTTTTGTGAGGAGAAAACGATGCCTTTCTTTTCCCTAAAACAATGCCATTTCAATCAGTAGAAAACGTTGCCGTTTCACTTTTGCTTAAATGACTTCGTTTTTGTTAAGTTAAAAACATTACCATTTTATTTTACCCAAAACGATGTCGTCTCATTTAGTACTAAGCGGTCCCGTTTTGTTTGCTATAAACGACATCGTGTTTAGGAGAATAAAACAGTGTCATTGTGTTTCCCTAAAATGACGCCGTTTTACATTGCTACGGAACGAAGACGTATAGTTTGGTGTAAACAACGTCGTGCCCCTTTGTAAAATGACAAGTTGTCCGTTTGGTAAACGGCATGTCGCACGATAGTCGAACCGGCACGAATACGCTGACATGAAATGAGTTCCCCACAGAGTAATTTTTTTCACCCCCTATCATTTGACAAAGTGCAGAAAAACCCAAAATTGATGTTGTTTGTTCCCTGAAAACGTCGCAGTTTCCTTTTCCCATAAACGACGTCATTTCGTCGAAAAGAGACGGTGTTGTTTTCTTTTCCCAGAAACGACACTGTTTTCGTTATTAGAAAATGATGCGGTTTCATTTGTCCCTAAAATGACGTCGTTTGTGTTAGTACAAAACGATGCCATTTTGTTTGGTGTAAACAACGTCGTTTGCAGGGAAATAAAACGATGCCATTTCACTCAGTACAAAACAATGTCGTAGCATATAGTGTAAACGAAATCATTCTTTTTGATAAAATGACAGGTCGTCCGTTTTGTAAACGACGTGTTGCACGATGGGAAATATTTTTGCACCCCCTATTGTTTGATAAAGTGCAGAAAAACCCAAAAATTGATGGCTCTTAAATCTTAATGGACCAAAGTAATATTTACGATTAATAAAAAAATTCAAATCGAAGTAGGAACGACATCTCGTTTACACGAAAAATGGAGATGTGTTTTGCAAATAGAAATAAAAAATGAATAAACAAAGCTCAAGTAAATTCATAACAGCCAACAGGAAGCTTTAAGCACTGCCATCACTGATGATAAAGCTTTCATATGAAAAGTTGGTGTTAGTACAAACGATGCCATTTTCACTCATACAAAACAATGTCGTAGCATATAGTGTAAAGAAATCTTCTTTTTGATAAAATGACAGGTCCCGTTTTGTAAACGCGTGTTTGCGTGGAAATATTTTTCACCCCCTATTGTTTGATAAAGTGCAGAAAAACCCAAAAATTGATGGCTCTTAAATC